TTAAAGATATTCTAAGAATGTTCCAGTCTATTCACTTATCGAAAATAGTGGACAATTCTACGAAATATATACACTAGAAGGGAGAACAGAAATTCACAGTAACGAAACACAAGAGTGAACCATTCAGCTAAACACCATCAGTTTCCTCTTAATAACATAAATATAAAATTATTAAGAATATCAAACTTCCAAGTTTTAAAAGTAAGTTTACCACCATCTAATAAAGGTTGTAACAATCCCAAAATCGTAACTTTATTAGTCCTTTACGATTTTGAACATAGCCTAATATTTTTCGTTCTAGTAAAGTCAAAAAACAAACTCTTGAAAATATTAGAATAATTATAAAAAATAATTGAACTATTGAACGTATTGAAAATAAACCTAGAATACCCAAAACTCTTATTCAAAAGAACTTTATTAACAATAAAATAATTGAAACTTAAATTCAGCACATAATTCTGCCATATCAAATATAAAAATAATTACGACATCAATGTAACCCAATTTCTGGCATAATGAACTAATAATCCTATTTAATGTAAATAAATCACTCATGAGCTTATTTAGAAAACTTAAGTTTACAAAACTAATATTATATTTAACTACCTAAATATTTTCAATATCCATACTATAAATACACAACAACCTTCGAAAAACATAAGCCTGAATTAAACAAACAAGCAACTCAATCAAAAATAAACTGATCAACAATAAAAAAGACTAATATGCGCAATGACAGTTGACGAAATTGACGGCCTAACACCAAAACGAGATGGAAATGTTCAACAATTAAAAGTAGATGGGATCAGTGTGATATTATCGCAAATTGAAGGTATCAAAGATATTCCGAACGTAATTATTCTTGGGGCTACAAATCATTTGAATATGATGGATGACGCATGTCTTAGACGTATGTAGACAAAATGTTTTGTCGGTAGACCTTCACCAAGAACCCGACGAACAATGCTCGTACCGCTGATGTGTGAATATCCAGAAACATTCAATACAAAAAGAATTGATTTCCTTGTTAAAATAATAGCCGATTTTTAGTGGCGCATCAATTAATGAATTATTAAAAGTAATTGTATCCGAAATGAAATTTCAGCTTGTTAATGATACGATATTGTTGTATATCATTCTCTTATGTACTCATTCCGAAAACAATCATGCAGCTTCAATGTGTGTGTTAATAATTGTAACTGTAAATATTTTCATAAAATAAATATTTTATTAATATAAATATTTTCAACAATATTGATCTAGTTTTTAAAGGCTGTCAAGAGTATTATTAAAATTTTAGAAATAAAATCTATCAATCCCCCGTGAAAAGCATATTCTTCTTTTAAAACGCTACGATTAATTAAGTTACAAGCAAACTTACCACAAAACACAAATGAAAATAGTCATAAATAGATTGTGTAGGTAAGAAAATCAATTGATTTAATGGAGATATTCCTTTTATACCATAAACATTAATATCTGTATTGCCCATATTAAAAAGACGTTCAACTTTTTTTAAGCATAATCCAAATCGAGCCCTAGTTCGAAAACGTGGATTTGTATGTACAAATAAAGACCATGAGTAAGTACATAGTTTATCACGTGCACTATAAATTCCTTGAAGTTCACATACTCGACATGCATAATATCCATTGTGCGCTACTATCTGAGTTATTTTCGATTGACCAGGTCCATCACCACAAACACCTTGGACATAAAGATCAAAATGAACATAACCTAAATAAACCAAAAGAATAATGAAAGATGTGTTTCGATAAGTCAGATAAATGCCCTGTTGACTATATCACCTGCGAAAGGATGCATGATATATCTTACACTACATATATCTTGATTCAAGAAAACACTACTGTTATTGTTCAGCGTACGTAGTAAGGAATTAGAAACAATACTTATGTTTAGTAATTTTACAACCGCTTTATAGTTACTAGAGACTCAGACAAGATTCATTTCTGAAAGAAGCAAAAGAAGATACCACGACCGGTTGCGACCTTTTTCAAAGATCTCGTCAGATGATTTCCTTCGAGAAAGACAGAGCTAACGCACGACAAGCAACACAACTTCATCCACACCGTATGAGGGTGTTACTATTCAATGTTCTTATCGAACAAAGAACGATAACTTTCACACAACGAGAGCGAAGGACGATATCACTGTACAATACACATGTTCTGCTTCTCTACATTAAGTGTTTGTTTTCATTCTATCAGAAATGATTCATCCTTTTACACCTAAACTGTATCTAAAAATTTTCACTCAAGAACTGTTGAGACAAATGTGAAAAGCACCATACTTACAGTTCGATCTTGGGAAGTGGTCATCCATCTTCTTACTAAGCGTAGTTTTGACAGAATAGAGAAAGACATTACGTCACAATTCTCTACTTTATAGTGATAAACTCCATAATAATGCATGGTTTAATCTTCAGAAGTGGTCACATATCCTCTTACTAGTCAAGCTCGTTCACAGTGGAGAAAGACAAAATTAGTCACAATTCTCCGATTAAATATGCGAGTTTTGTGTGGTTTTGAAGAATAAATCTATATGAATGTGAAACTCGACTTAAGTCGAGTTTCACATTCATACAGAAACAATACTACTGATAGTAAAAACAGGAGAAGGAAAACTTGAGCGAAATTTTATCACGAAACAATCATTTTCTTATTTATTTCCTAAACCATTGATATTAATATAAATACCACTTTCAAGTAGACGAGATATATCTTCTACAATTCGACCCAGCAGTTGATCAGCTGTTGGGGCACGAGGTGAATGCCAAAGACATAATAGTATTGTATTTGTTCATTATCGCGAAAAGGTCGTGGCACTTCGACGATTCTTGCTAAGACCTAAATGAAAAATGATGCCAAAATTGTAGTGAGATGATACTTCAACTGTGCTATGAAACCGTGCACTCTTTTCCAACAGTTAAGGTTAAAAACTAAAATGCAGTCTATTGAGTTGCAATTGATATAAATGATATCTATGCAGTATTTCTTTTTTTATATAAACAATCTTGAAATGAACAAGCAACAAGTTTCATTATCAGAACGTCGCAAAGGCCTTTGCTTTATAAACTTTAAACTTTATTAGCATTTTTCCTACTTGTCTTGTAAAAGATGATGTAGCTGCGCTGACGATGAAACACTTTTTTATAGTGAAGATTTACTAGACCTTATTGTTGGTTTTCCATCTGTAGAAATTAATTAAGTCATTGGATTTGAACTTTTGGCTGATTGATTTTTCTATATTTCCCCTAAAAAGAAGCAAAAAGTCAAACTGCAAATTATTATTTTTATTCCATTTACCATATTTCTTCCTCAAATTAATTTAACTCAACGGAAGTCTGTAAAGAATATTTATTATTGTTGAACTAATATATACGTAGACAGCTACACTACTGATCTTCAATTTGTCCACCTAAAAATTCAATGCAAAATACCACAAAAGAAAATTTTCTTTTTCAAAAAAAAATGTGCTGTGTTTTCTATTTTTTACTATTTAATTCTTACACTAGGGTCACACTACAGCCTTAAGCACGATTAACTCGCTAATCATGATTAAAAGATGAATAGCGTAATCATGATTAGTGTTAATCGCGATTAAATGTAGTGCGACCGCTCTAATCATGATTAAATGTATGGATACTTATCAAATTGGAAAACAAAATGGCGGAAATAGTATGAGATTGGATACTGGTTTCAGCTAATAAACTGAGACTAGCCATTAATTATTTCTTTCTTCTTCTTTCTTCAGTATATTAAAATTTATTAAGACACTAGTCGTGCCTTGCCTACTTATCTTCTCATTGTCTTCTTTTCCATCACAAAATTCTTTCGATTAAGGGGTTCAAAGTGAATACTGAGAGTTTCTCAAAGTGTGGTTACTGAATAAATACAGCCCTCAGTTGCGCTGCATCTTGTCTGTCTTAGGCGTATACCTTCATTTATAGCCACGAGTTTTTTAAGTATTTTTAAAGAGTAGTCTTTTTGCTGTAAATACTTTTCTTTATTTAATAACGTTTAGTAAAGTAACAGTATTCATTATTCACTTGACTGACAGAAAAATGAGCCAGTTTTAGAGCACTATCTGTATTTATTTGCTGTTCTTAATTACGATCTGCCTTTAATCATGATTAGCGCGGTCACATTGTTTATTTAACCGTGATTAAAATAGTATTAATTATAATTAAAAAAGGATGTGATCACACTACAAAATCGTTAATCATGGTTAACTTTAATCATGATTAATTTTAATCGTGATTAAGGCTGTAGTGTGACCCTAGTGTTAATCTGTTCACAGCAATGCTCAAGAAAAATTATTTAAGAGAAAAGACAACAATGTAAGATATCCATTACAATATCATCTAAATTATCACTTTTTTGTAATTTATAATTTAACATTAAATCATAACTGTTGTTAACCATTCGTTCGATTTCTTTAACAGTGGGAAAAATTATCAATTCAGATGAAATTTGTTTATTAGTACTGCTGCATAAACATGAATATTCATTTATTTTCAACGTACAACTGTACGTATATTCGAATTTTATATTCAATTTATCTCATAAATCAATACTTGAAGATGGTGGTAATTGACGTTGATCATGCACATGATTTAATAATGTCAACAATTGATTTGTTTTTGTTTTGTCAAGATTCGCCTGACATATATATTTTGCTATTTCTAATTCTATTTTTGATTCAGTATCATTTATATCAAACAGTGAGTCAACAATGAAATCATCATCAAAAATTTTCGATTTTTTATCATCATAACAATTTTCGAATCTAACATTTGCAGTAAGAATTCCTAGGTGTATAAAATAAAAAATAATAACTATTTTCCACATAGCTCGATAGATCCGCCTGACGTTCAAATGATCTTAAAGAAAGTATTACCATTATCGTTATTATTTTCTTCTTCATCAAAAAATAGAAAATCTATTAATAAATATACAATAAATGGAAAGATCAAACTATTGGTTAAAAAATTAACTTACTTTGACTATACGGAGCAGGTGAATCAGTAGATGTACTATAATTGTTATTATCTTCTTCATCTGAAAATGTAAAAGCTATTAATTAAGATAGCATCACCAGATAGATGAAAATATCAAATGAAAAATAAAACCAACCTTGTGTACACATAACGGAAGAATCAGTCGATGTAGAAGCATCGGAACAGAATAGGCTAGTAAGCCTTTGTCTTCCTTTAACTTACCGATGTTTGCTACATAATCGTTCTATAGGGAAAATATTCAGTAAGCAAAATTCTCTATGTGATAAATTAAATCTGATATTGTTTTTTTGCAGCTGCAACAAACAATAACAATGAATTTAAATAACTTTCGTCGATTTTTTTCAAGTGAACTTACTATATGCCTTTGCATCTTCATCATTGGTCTGTTCATCCTGGTAATTTTTCGACATTAATCCTGTATGCCTTAGATAATAATCTAAAATTTCTGAAACAGACAGTATAATATTATTAAACAAAATCTAAAAAATAAAACAGATAAAATATTAAAGCAACAAATAGTAATCAGCAACGAAAATAATCCAGTTTGAATCAGAAACATACGTGTGACTATAGTGACATGACTGCGTGACGGACCTACATACATATAGTGACACGGCAGTGTGCCGGACGTACACACATATAGTTATGTGGCTGCGTGACGGACTTACATACATATAGTGACATGGCTGTGTGACGGA